TAGCAATAATAGGGGGTTACCATTGAGAATATCCCTATTTTATTTTATATATATCTGCCTCACATCAATGAGGCCCACCAAGGTGTGCCTAGGTGTAACAATACCACTATTGCCTTAGTGCATCTTGATCTTTTTTATACACCCCTAAGGAAAGGGTAGAGTAGGGGAAGGAAGAGGAAGGAATAGGGAGACTGGAGAGATTGAGTGAACTTGTACGCTAACTACGCTTTCTTCAAGTCATTCCAAGGATTTGGTTCATTATAGGGGATTTTAAAATGACACCTTGCAATTCCTTTCCTTTCCTTTCTTTCATTTCATAAATAAACAAAGGAAAATGAAATCATAACTTCTTAGTCCTTCCCTTTCTTTCAATTCGCTCTACCATATTGCAAGGAATCAGGTCGGAAACAAAGAATGCATCGCTTGCACCATAAAAAGAAACAAGGGTAATTTGTGAATTTCTCTTATTACTCAATAGTTGCAGAATTCTACTAGGCACCTCCTTTTCACAGTATTCTAATCACTGCATTTCGTGAGATGATCGCTGTTCCCAAGGCGGAATCCCCTTCGAGGTAATTGTTTCTTCTACTTTGTTATAAGTGATGGTTTAGTGTACATCATCCTTGATTTTTCCATCCATTGCATGCTCATTTTCCAAAGAAAGAGGTAAGAAATCATCAACCATCAGCACATATCTAAGGCATTCACCCTCTCCTTGCATTGCATCTCTAGTTCCACCGCACTGGTGGAAATGAGTTCTGCCTAGGTCTATCATCATCACAACTTCATAATCCAGCACTTTACCTACCATTTTATTGGTTTTGGAAGTTAAGCCTAATGACTGGATTTAGGGATATCTGTGGTTGTTGGTCATCTGTATTTATCTCCTCCCCACTCTTTAGTGTTTCTTCCTTATCTTAGGCCCTATTCTTTTGAGCTTCTGGGCGCATCGCAAGAGCAGCTCTAAAGAAGAGGGCCTTATGATAAGTAGGTGAGGGCGAGGTCGTTGACTAACCTCCTAATATCAAACAATATTTATAAATTCCTAACTAACCACTAAGCAAGCATAGAGGCAAGTTCGGAGTCTAACCACAAGGACTAAGTGTATCAATTTGTGCTACTCAAACTAGTAAGAAAGATGTGAGATAGAGAGAGGAACAACTAAAACACTACTTAAAGTAATCAACAAAATACTAGGGAGAGGGGAATCCAATTACATTAATTAATTCAACAATAAATTTCGATTAGATGATCATGATCTCAATAGGAACCATCAGCCCACTCAACTCACTCCTGCGCAATTAAGCATATTAATTATCCTACTAAGCTAATTCACTCCCGTGCAACTAGCCTAGCATAGGTATGGAAGAATCTAGACTCTCAATCAACTCACTTTCACACAATTGATTGAAAGCACAATTAAAAACCTAGAATCAATTAGCTAAAAAGATTCTAATCAATGTAAGCATCATCCACACACAATAATCAAGAATCAATTGCATACTAATCACAATCATTCATTCAATTCATCAACATAACCTTTATCCATTCCCCTAGCTAAGATATTACTCAAACATGAAAAAATTAACCAAATAAACACAAAAATAAAGAGTAGAACTAAACAACAAAATAATAACAATAAACTAAGACTAATCTAAGAACATGAAGCAAAAACAATTAATCTAAATAAAGCGATAAAAGCAAGCAATCAATAAAGCAATAAATCGAGAAGAGAGAGTAAGAAATGCTCAATATTGGATGAATCTTTCTTCAAATTGGTTATGTCACTAAACAATTTCCAAAAGCTTAAATCTTTCTTGATTTTTCTCACTTTCTCTCTCTAAAAAAAATAAGAACCCTAAAACTAATCTAACCCTCAGAGAGGAAAATAAAAAAGTCCTAATCTAATTAAGTTGGGAAAAAAAGTTGTTGAGAGTCTAAACCCCCAAAAGAGGGTATTTAATACAAGCTAATTAAAAATAAAAGAGAATAGAGAAAAAAGGAGATTAAGAAAGAAAGAAAGAAAAAAGGAAAATAAAAAGAGAAATAAAACAAATTAAAAAGAAACCAAAAACCCACTAAAATTAATCCCCAAAAATCATCAGCTGCTTCTTCTTTCGTGGCTGCTTTCAATGACTACCATTCAACCATCATCATACCGTTCATCGCATCATATTAAATGGCTGGAAAGCCTCACCTTCAATCATCATTAAATCGTGCCCCTTGGATAATCGAAATGAAATCTCAGCCATCCTAAATCATTAATCCGTACAAATATTAGTTGCGAAATCGGAGCGACTGCGTGAACCCATTGGAGCGGCCGCTCAAGGCCTCTGCTTCGAATTGAAAGAAATTAGATTATTTAGGAGCGCCCGCTTGATTATAATGAGCGGCCACTCTAAACGTTCTGATTATTTGGCCATTTGGGGTTGAATTGAAGCTTGTTGCTGCGATTTGTGGCCTGATTTGGTGGTTTAAGGTGGGCCGAAATGGTAGCTGCTGGCGTTTGGGATGGTGCAGGTCGCTGCAGGGGCTGATGATGGACGTGAATGCAGGCCGGTTGTGGTGTAGCAGGGGTCGAAATGAAGCAGGGGTGTATTGGTTGGGGTGTGAAAATGGTGGCTGTTATGTTGGTGTTTTTGGTTCGGGTTAGGGCGGTGCTATTGGTGGTGTGGCTTGGTAATTGGTGTGTTGGGTGTGAGCAGCAACGCTGGTGGGATTTGGGTGTGAAGGTGCTATTGATGGCGATGAGTTGTTTGGTGGGGAATTTGGAGCAGGGGAGCTGTGGGTGGAGAAATTGAGGGAGCAGGGGATGTATATTGGTGTAAATGGTTGAACAGGGGAGCAGCAGGGGAGTTGAGTTTCGTTGGTTGTGTTGCTTCTTTGTTTGACTCGCGTTCCGAAGTCCAATGCAAACCATTTAACCTTGAAATACGTGCCATGACCCGAACACCCCGACAAACAAAACCAAACACAAGGGTAGATCGACATTTAAAATAAAATAAAACTAAGTAAAATAATATGTTACACTAAAATAAATAAGAAAATGAGAGAAGTGAGGAATTATTGATAACAAAACTTCAACTATAAACATAGAAAATAAGAAACTTTAAATAAATTACGAAATTAAGCTAAAAACCACTCAAAATTACAAAAACACTCAAAATAAAGATCAAATAAGGGAAGTAAGAAAATGAGAGAAATAAACCCTAAAACTAGGGAAATTATTGGTAAACAAACCTAAAAATGAGCCTAGAAATACCCTAAAATTGACATAGAAGTCACTTATCACCTTACTCTTGTGCTACTAACACACTCAACTCCTTCCTTTTGCATGGTCCCCACTGTCCACTAGTCATCACACCTGAAACAAAAACCTCTCTCTCGTTTCATTTGCATTCCATATCACTTAACCTCCTATTTATTTCTCGCTGAGGGCTTGGAATGAAAAGGGCTACTAGTGGGTGTGGTGGGGATGGAAAGGTTGTTTGGGCTTACTGTGTTTAAGTATGTGTTTAGTTTTGGTAGGTTATGTCCCCCTTTTATAATGAACTTCCTATGCCAGACTTGGGTCTGTATAGGCCCAAATTTAACTTGTCCTCAACCTTAATGGACAACTCTATAACCTGATCCAGCGATTTTGGAATATGTTAACTGAGCTCCGCTTTTCACTGACTCTTCACCACCACTCAACGGAGCCATTCGCTCTATAAACCGCCTACAATATTCATGCACCATACCCACTGTTCATGCAGAGAGCTGGCTGAGCTTTGGCCGAGATTGTCAGAACAACAGAGCTTCAACTTCTCCTAGAAATTTAAAGGCCGTAGGCTATTTTCCCAAGGGAACCAAAAGCAATGCGTCTCCCTCAAGCGCTACCAGCTCATCACTGCTACTTCAAGTTTTCTTCCTCACTCAACTTGTAAAATTGGATTTATCATTCACCTCAAAGGATCCACCCATCTGGGTTTGACCCTTTGATCGTCAGAGATCCAACTTCTCATGCCTCCAATATCCCCCACATCCTCCACATGACCCTCCCATCCATTGGGAAGCACCTGGGTCGTTGATATGTTCGCCTTCACCTTTATTTGGGTTGTATAATCCGGCTGCACCCCCAATTCCCACCAATCTACTACCTATCGTATCGCCACCCACATTAAATCCAACCTCTGCCAAAAGTAAGGTTATTTAGTTTGTTAATGCTGAGAGCCATCACCTCCGATCGACAAATCTGAGTCGATCTGAGCAGTGAAACAGCCGCCCGCATCTTGATTAAAACTTCGACTTATTGTATCTTAACGATGTCATCAATGCTTCGTGTTTCACACACATCCGATCGATTCTTCCTTCCAAGCGAAGTGTCATCGCAGTGGGTTCATCACTTTGCTTCTTCGTGGCTTGTTCCAATCTCACAGCGATCTGGTCCGCCATTGTTTGCTGCATCGAAGCTATGGCGCCTTGCATAGCTGCTGTGAACTGTTCTGCAATGGTGGTGTGAAATGAAGCTAGCTGTTCCTTCACCCCTTCCATCTCAGATTCCATTCTAAGGCGCAAATTAAGGCACACCCCCTGAGGCGCACAAAGATGTTTTTCAGAATTTTTTTTTTTATTGAATGAGGCGCACAAAGGTGTACAGTGGCGCTGGGAGCTCTGAAATGCCTTGGTGCGCCTTGAGCCTTTTTATACATTGGGCAAAGTATATTGCATTTGCTATATGTATGTATGTCTACCAGCTATTAAGCCTAACTGCTAAGGCACTACACTATATCATGTGTGACTTAAAGGCCTTTTGACCTGGCAAAGTTTATTGCTTAATAATTACATATGATAGACTGCATACTTTTCTACTGGTTTTATATGAAATGCTGTAATTGATTAATTCTTGTGTTTTGTTCTAAGCTACAAGTTTTGCAACCTCTATTGTATATAGCGTAAACTTATAATGCTATTTGTTGTAACTTGTACCAGTTATACTAATATTGAATGTTATATAACAGGGGATGTTATTTCAGAAGAGTACTCATTGGAGTATGGAACAGACAAAATAGAGATGCATGTTGGTGCAGTAGAAGCTGGAGAACGTGCCATAATTATTGACGATCTCATAGCCACTGGAGGAACCTTATCTGCTGCGCTTAAGCTGCTTGGTAAAGCTTTTGTTTAAAACTTTGCTGGACACTTTTAGCTCCCATAAGTGCTTCATTCTAGTTGTTGCCGAAAACTTATTGGAGTTCATTGTAAACTACATAGCTAAAGATTTATACGTAGTATTAAGCTTTTTTTGTTTTATTATTTTTATTTTTATTATTTTTTTTTTTACTTTTTACTTGAAATTTAATGATTTTTTGAGCCTCCTGTCTAATTTAATGTGTGGTTTAATTGCAGAGCGTGTAGGAGTGCAGGTTGTTGAGTGTGCCTGTCTTATAGAGCTGCCAGAGCTAAAGGTATTTTACTGCTTTCAACAACTGTTGACATTCTTGCAAATTTTTATTCCTCTAAGCCATTTATACTAGCCATGCATGTTTAATTTTGAGTGTGAGAACATGGTGTATTGTGCTCAATGTGTGTGATCATCTTTCTTTCATAACTTGAATTGGTTATGCTCCAAATATTTATCTATGCCACATCTCTCCTTAATGCTCACATCATTTTCTTTATTTTTCATAAAATACAAACATTCAACCCTTGTCCCATACTCCCATTCCTCTTCCCTTCAATCTTTCAATGTGTTTCTATCATTCTATGTATTCTTTTTGGCCACTTTTCCTTTCCTTCTCCAAGCAAATGAATATGTTGAATTAGTTTTTTTTTTTTTTTTTTTTTTTTTTTTTTTTTTTTTTTACAAAAATCAAGATGCACAGATGCATATTACCCAAAAAAATTACACTGATTACATTCATCTCATGTATGGTACATGGACTCTTCATTTCACCTTAAACACCATTATAGGATCCTTGACTCTAAGGCATGAGTAGGACACTTCTCATTGTGGGCAAAAGTCTTAGAAATTTTTAACAAAATTGCTGAGTGAGACGCTTCGACACATCCGTGTTAGACAATGGTATCCGAGTCCAAGTAACATACACGTCTTGGATTATACACACACAACATGGCTGTTTAATATTTTGTTTTAAATTGGATTGTACATTGATCTAGCTTTTTTCGCCCCCGTTCTAATGCTGGGCATGAATATGTACTTTTTATTTTTTCATCAATTGCATTTCTCAAATACAATCTTTAACAAGAGCAAGATGTTCAATAGTATCTAGTTTGAGTATCTGTAAAAAAAAAATTACTTGTACTTCTTGTTCAGCTTATCAACTGTTGGTTGTATTTCCTACTCGTCAAAAGTTTAGATTTCTACTAGATTAACTTTGGCTTAGCATATTTTACAAGAAGCTATTTGGCTTTGTGCAGGGTCGAGAACGGTTAGGCGACAATCCTCTATTCGTCCTTATCAAATCAGCTTGATATACGCCCTCTTTCTTTAACCAAGTTTTCAACATCGCATGTTTTCAACATCTCTTTCATTATCTTTCCTATTTATTGTGAAAGGTTGATTAGTTAAAGATATTTTATTTTCACTGTAAACTTTTTGGTTTGTGTTCCATTGTTGATTGATAAAATTCGGGTCGTTTGCTCTGGGGTGATGCATGTCGTATGCCTGTATTATGCAGAAGATTACCACATTTCCTTTATGGTGGGGAATAAAACACCTTCACTGTATTGTAATCTTGGAATCAAGTGAATTCCAGATCAAGCATTAAATTTCTTCTGCTCTCACAAGGGGGGGGGGGGGGGGGGGGGGGGGGGGGGGGGGGGGGGGGGGGGGAATAAACTTACTTCTTTAAATCTATTGATAAGTCATCTTATATGTGCTTGTGAAATGTTTTGGAAAGTATTCGAGAAAATTATAGCATACAAAAGGATTCCCAGCTGTTAATCCTGTTATTACAAACTGAGGATTAGACATCAACACTCTGCTAAGGCTGAAAAAGTAAAAAGGATATTTCAGAAGACTTTTTATTGCTGTAAATGGTAATACAGGTTATGTGTGACATTTTTAGCTGAAGTCTGATACCAAATTGTGTCTTCATAATACACACAAATCGAAGACGTTTTCCGGGCATGCAAACTGAAGTGTTTTTTGGCATGTGAAACACATTGATTTGCATGTCAAACTATGGGTTAAATATGTTAACTAAGGGTTAATTGGTTAATTAAAGGGAAAATCTCTTTGGTGCTCTTAAGTTTTTTATATTTCTCAATGGTAAACAACAAAAAGTCAAATTATCTTTGGTAGTCAACTATTAATGTTCCTAATTTAGTGGTGACATTAATCTATAATTATAAGCCTAACCATTATTAACAAAAGGCAAATTGACTAATTTATTCTTGAAAATAAGATTTTTCCTTTATTATTTTGACAATTAAATTAGTTTAAAAATATTTTTTTTTCTTTTTTTTAAAAAAATAAATAAATAAAAACCCACCACCCACTCTTTCCCCCACCCTAGCTAACCAACCCCTTTTCTCCACCCATGCCCAACCCCGATCACCCCTGTCCCTAGCGCCCGTCGAGCCCAACCCCTGCTCTGGCACCACATAGACCCTAAACCACCTGTCGCGTTGCCCCTTTCCCCCTAAACCACCAATCCCCCTCCTTACCCCCACGAAACTCTAAACCCTCTAAAAATCATCCCCAACCCTCGAAAACCCCAACCAGAACCTTAGTAATGGCAGGGGACGTTCGGTTAGGGTTTTCAAGGGTGGGGTGATGGTTTTAGGGGTTTTGTGGTGTGTGTGGGGGGGGGGGGAGGGGGGTTTCGGCGAAGGGGTTGGGTGGTTATGGGGGAAGGGAGACGCAACAAGGAGATGAGAGTTCAGTGCGGCGCCAGTGCTGAGGAGGAATGGTCGGGGCGCGTTGGCGCTGGGGGCAATCTGGGCGTGCATGGAGGGCAAGGGGTGGCTGCCTGGGCTTGTGGGGGCGGTGGTGTTCTTTTAAAAATAATTTAATTTTTAAAGATTATATAACTAACCCTAGTAAAAGATTATAACCAAAATATATCATTAATGCTATTATTAATATACACTTTATAATTCATGATTGCCAAAAGATAATTGAAATTTTTATTGTTCACCAAAGAGAAAATTAAAAAACATGTGAGTACCAAAGAGAATTTCCCTTAATTAAAAGGTAATTAAGGGTTAATAAAATATATGGAATAATAACGACAAGAAGAAGTTATCCCTCCCTCCCCCCACCCATGTTGGCGTCTATCCCCTTCTCTCGTCGATGCGTTGGCCTCCCCCTTCTTTGTCGCGCCTCTCCCCCTTCCCTCGAACCACAACCCCTTTCCCCGAAACCCCTCCCCACCCGCATCCCCCCCACCCTTAAAACCCTAACGTTAAGGTTTATTAGGGTGGGGGGAGGATCGGCTAGGGTTTTCAAGGGTGGGATGTGTGGTTTGAAGTGAAGGGATCGGAAGGGTTTCTAGGGATTTTCAGGCGAGGGATCGGAGGTGGTAGTCGGGGTAGGGGAGGAATGGATAGGCTGGTTGTTATTGGGTGCTTGCGTCGGGGGAGGGGGTTTGGGTGCCGGTAAGGGTACTGGGTGGCATCGACAAACGGGAAGGGGCTGGGGTTGCTGATGGACCAGTGGGGATGGGTTGGTTTATTTTATTTTTATTTTAAATAATTTAATTATTAAAAAATGAAAAAACTAACTATGAGTAATGATTTTAAGTAAAATAGTTATTGTCTTTGGTAATTAATTATACAAGGTCATCAAAGATATCAGATTTTTTTTGCAATTCACCTAAGAGAAATGTAAAAAGTTTGACGTTGTTAAACAGAATTTCCCTTATTTTTATGTATAATAACCTCTATTTAGATTCTCTAAAAAAAAAAAAAAAAAAAAAAAAAAAAAAAAACCACCTCTATTTAGATGTAATGTTCATTGATGTAGTTATTAATATTTACCTATAATGACCCACGTAATTGCCTTTTTTTTATTTTATTTTTTTTACATATAGTTACCTCTATTAAAATATAGTGAACGTATGTAGCTATCAATAATTACTTATAATGACCCATTATTTAGTGTTTACCTTTAAAAGTAACCATTTTAGCATATACTCATAATTTTCTTTTCATATTCTATATAGGATTTGAATCTACATTATTTTGACTATGTAGCTAACTAGCTAAATTTTATATGTGCAATATTTCAATAATTGTGTCAAATGAAATTTCGTGGTTTTAATTTTGGGAGAACGGTTACTGGTTAAATTTTGTTAGAGAAAGAGTAAATTTCTTATTTTCAATAATTTTTTGTGAATACCCAATTTAATTACAACAATATTAGTGTACATCCGAATGATTTTAGGATAACTTTTAGTCAATTTGGATTAACTTTTAACTTTATTTGGGGAACCTAATATGATTTTAATAGTATATATGGACAATGGAGGAAGCTTTATATGGATCATTTAAATTTTACTAGGTAACTTTACCAATAAAACATAAATTACTTTGATATATATTTGGATAACTTTTATTTATAGGAAGGAAAATTTAATTGGGATGTTTCACATCATCAGAGTTTTTGATGAATACCAAATGACTAAGATTGCTTGTAAATATAGTTTTAACAATAAGTCTTGTTTTCAATGGAACCGTTCTAAATCAGATGACACGTTTCTTTTATCATATTTGTCAATGCAAAAATCCAATCGAATAAAAATTGTACTTTTGTAAAAAATACTAAAAATTTAATTTTAGTTAAGTTCTAACAACATCCTACATGAGTATTTTTTTTTAAATATTTATAAATCACAAATGTTAATCAACGTAAAATTTATAAATAGTGTTAAAAGTCAATGTCATTTAATTTAGGGTGGAGGATGTATATATTATGTTTTGCTTTGCAAATTTACTTGTAGCATGTTTTTTTTTTTTTTTTTTTTTTTGAAAAAGGATCGTATTGGCTCGAAACTTCACATAAATTTTCCCAGCCCAGGTTAGCGAGCTAGACACTTTGAAGGTGGGGGAGAAGGATAAGGGAATCCCGCAACAGCTTTTGAAAACAGAGACTTCTGGCCTATCCCTGTTGATCTTAGTCCTTTGAGAGCAATCTCATACCTTTTAAAGCAAGCGATTGAATACCTATGGCACCTAAATTGCCCCATCTATCCTCCTGAGGAGAAGTTTAGTTTCTGGACAAGGAGGGGAAGTTACTCCCGCAAAACGATAAGCATGGCATTTTCTCTCTCAAGGAGGGCACCTTCTTTAGTGAGTTATATGAGCAAATGCCTGAACCAAAATATGTTATTGCTATGGGGGCGTGTACAATTGCAGGAGGGGGGGTGTTCAATACTGATTTAGTCCAAGATCGTACTCTTCTTCTACAAAGAGAAGAAACCACTCTCAACGGCTAGGCGCCCCATATTTTCTACTCTTCTTCACTTTTTTTTTTTTTTTATCTTTTTTTTTATTATTATTATGAATCGACAACAAAAATTTAATGCGTAATCTCAACCCCCACCCCAAACTGGCTTTAGTGGAGTTTAATTCCATAATCTCAAGACTATGAGATGCAAACTTTCACACTAAACCAAACCAAGCTTGTCATGATTTGTTGAAGTAAAATTTGAATAAGTTGGAAAGAAAAAAAAAAGCGGAGCTTCTCTCTCTAACCCCTGTTCTTGTCTCCCTACCGCCCCACCGCTTCATCCCTTATCTCAACTTCTACTAGCCGGCGATCGGCGCTCATCACTTAGCCATCGCCGGCGAGTGCTGTTCTTTACTGTTAGTTTATTTTAGCTTTCTTTTTCGGGGTTTTCCGGCAAAAGAGACAAAGGAGTTGCAAATTGGTTTGTTTTTCGAGTTCATCGGGGATTCAATCAAGTTTTTGTGGATCGTCAAGTGTTTGAGTTTCTAATAACGCCGCCGTTGAAAGGAATTTCGTTAATTGACATTAAAGGTGAAGTTAAGACTAGGGTTTTCTCCCTTAATCCAAGGTTTGATTCAGGGGAAGCGGTCTTCTTGTGTTGGCCTTGATGACTAGTTGTTGTGTTTGGGATTCTTTCGATGAGGTAGCTTGCTGGTTCTTTTTCTTCTCCGGGACTCACGAGTGGCTTTGTGGGTATTGTTGGTTTTCCTTTGCTTTAGTATGTTGTTTTAGTTTAAGTTTATATTTTGCGTTAGTCTTGTTGTGTTGTTCTTGCATAGTTTGTTTGTTTTATTGTTTGGGTTTGTGTATTTCAATAATACTCTTGCTATGCTTGTTCATGAGTTGGAGGTTTATAGGGTAGTTCTAGTTATGGAAGCTTTCGAAGTGTTGTTGTTGCTCTTGGAGTTGGGCTGGTTGGGTTTCCCCTTGTATCTAAGGGATGTAAGTTTAGGCAGTGCCTGGCTTGTTTGGTTGGTGGTCCTTTTGATTGGTTTTTCAGGGTAGGACTATGTTTCCCTGGGAATTAGAAATTTTCGAGTGTGGGGGAGCTTTAAGATTAATTGCGTGTTTCCCCTTGATAGTTTGGGTGGTATTCTTTTTTGGTTTTCTAGGGAGTAGAGTTATTTGTGCAGGCAAAAGGGTTAGCCTGCATTTGGTGTCTGCAGGAGCCCGGGTAGTTTTGTGGGAAGAAGTTTGTTTGCTATTCTTGTTGCTGTTAGGTTGTGGGATGATTTGGGTATCCATTCAGCAACTATCATCCCATGGATGATTTGGGTATCCATGCAGGAGCCGCCCAGTCATCGCTTTTAATCTAAAT